TTTTGGTAAATGTGGATCATGAAGTGAAGACCGGTCGGTATGAAGATCACCCGATTGACTTTCAGTTGCTGGAAGTGCCAAAAGAAAACTTTATAAGCTTGAGGAAATGTTGAATACTGGGCATGCCCTTAATTGCTTCATTAGTGAGGAGCAGTGTTTCGTCCGGATTTGGTTTGATGAAGATGCCTCCGAATTGATGTCGCTCATTTGAAGGTAAGATTTTGGTGCCAACAAACTATCAGTGGCGGATTGGTTGAATGGTGGTGTTGATTCGTTGATTTGATCGACCGGATCGATGTCTCTCCTGGTTGAAGATTGAAACTGGGTTAATGGTTGAGCATGTCTGGTCTATTTTTATTCCGGCTGACGGTTGAAGATTGAAATTGGGTTAAGGTTGAGCATGTTTGGTCCTTCTTTTTACTGGTAGAAGGTCGAAGGTTGAAACTGGGTTGAAGGTTGAGCATGCCTTCCATTTCATTTATGGGAAATGAACTTTGCTTTGAGACACCAAGATAGTTTTGCGGAGCGAAACTTCAGAATTGTTATGAAGTTGGTTGGATATTTTCTTGTTGGCCATTTCTATTTAGTTGAGGATTTGCCGTTCTGAGGTTGAACAAAACTCTTCTGGTGTTTTTTTTTTTTTTTTTTTTGGAGATCTGGGTTTGGAAACTTTCAGAAAAACAAGTAAGGGGTCTTTTGTAGTTGAGTAGATAAATGAGAAGTTCTTTGTGGAGAAACATTTCTCAGAGACTGAACATAGAGGGCTGTCTCCGCCATTCAATAACTTCAATAGAGAAATGGTAATCAAAGTTTGCCGTTTCTCACATAGAGTTCATAAATGTATCCCATGAAGAGTGAAGTATGTCAATCTAGGGGTACTATATGCAGCAATGGTAGAGACCAAGGCTCAACATGCGTTTCCCGTGGTGTTGTGTAGGTATATTGCAAGGGAGTGGATCCTCTCATGTGAAAAAGTGGTCATGTTATTTGATCACAACCACTCATTTAAAAATTATACTTTTTTCTCTCTCTTCACTCATCATCAATGAGTGTGGTTGTGATCAAATAACATGACCACATGACCACTTTGTCACATGAGAGGATCCACTCCCATATTGCAACGAGGGAGTGTGTGAAAGTGGCTAAGGTGACTCCACATTTGTGTAGAGTAACAACTCTTGATATGAGGAAGTGAGAAGGTGCCCATTCAATGTGTGAGGGGATATTTAGAGCGAGGTGCCCCTATGAAGCGTGTGAGAGAAGGTGTGGAGAGTCGTCACCTAGCCAGTCTAGCCTTTCTAGGCTAGCATGTTGAACCCGCTGTCTGCGCACAGGGGCAACAACGCGAAGAGAAAAGAAGGGGAGGTCCTATGTGATGCCTTCTATAAGGCTCTAGATATGGACTTTGATATTGGACCTAATGAACTGGACCTATAGATGTGGGCGGAACAAAACACACACACATATAGATATGGAGAAAATAAAAGAAATATAAAAATGGCTTAGGTTAGATTGATTTTTGAGATTAAATTAATGATTTTTGAAACGACTAAATGCATTTTTAAAATTAAAATTCTTAAGCACCTTAACATGAGCTCTTATTAAAATTCCTTTTAAAAATTCTTTGCATGATACTAAACAAAGCTAGAGTAATCACCCCGTAAGCAGACTCTACTTTTGAAAAGCCTCCAACCACCATATCAATTCCTAAATTGAACCCTCATGCTTGCAACTTTGATTAGAGACAATGTATTACTCTCTTGGATGAAAAATTTCTGGGTGGCCAGCCTTTTTGCTTTGTAAACCTCCTCCTATATATGTGAGTAGACTGACTAGCTTGCTTCTTTTTATTTAGGTGGTGTTTGGTTTGGAGCTTTTCAAGAAATATCTATGTTTCTCAAGTATGACTTTTAGAAACACCATGTTTATTTCAACATATTTTCACCAAAAACTCATCTATCCAATTTGTATGGATTTATGAGAAACATAGATATCCGCACTGTTTAGAAACCCAGTTTGAAGGTGGGATTTTTTGGAAAATCGGTTATCTCACTTTTAATGCACTGTTGATTTCATAAAAGTTACCTAATTTTTTCAGTAAAGTTTTTCCCACCAAACAACTTTTTTTTACATTTTTCTACCTATCTCACTTTATCTCACTTTTCAATCATTTCTCTATCTATTACATTTTTTTACTATTCCAAAAAATTTTCCTCAACCAAACGCCCCCTTATAGTCTTATACACCCCTAGATGAAGAGGTGAGACTTGAGGTGGCAGTACGTACTAAAAGATTAGTAGGGTATCATCAACAACTTACTTTACACAAGAGTCCATTTTTCATGAAATAGATTGCCAAACACAAACTAGGGTTTTATAAGAGTTATATTGTAGGAAAAGTGATTGTGTTATATTATAGAGATTCGTTTTGCGTGCCGAAGTTTTTTTTTTTTTTTTGCTGCGGGCCCCACAAAATATTGTGTGTGTAGGAAACTTTTTGTGGTCATGTTAAATGATAGATAATAAACCCCACAAACTAACCAATTAAAATGCTAAGAGATATGAAATCAGCCCTTACAGCAAAACGCTAATCATGGATTGGTTACCTAAAACACACACACACACATATATATATATATATATATATATATATATATATATATATAGGTAAAATCATTTCTGCAACCGCTTTACGTACAACAACGACAGGTGTATGGTTATGATTCCCCACATTTAATGCTTTCATCTTTTGTATGGTTATGATTCCCTACATTTAATGCTTTCATCTTTTGTATGGTTATGATTCCCTGCATTTAATGTTTTCAAGTATATATATATGGCAAGTATTTGATTGCTGCACGTACATCAGCTGCAGAAATATATATATATATATATATTATATATATATATATATATATAGAGTTTGCTTTTTCTACAGTCAATATAGATAACTTATTTACATTGAGCCCAAAATGACGTCGTTTTGAGGTAAAAATCAATGTATTTTTAATTATAATTTTTTTCAAGGTTATAATAGTCTTTTTCATTATAAGTTTTTAATTTTTTAACCCAAAACGACATCATTTTGAGAGAGAATGTATATAACTTATCTATATTTACTGCAGAAATATTACAGCCATATATATAATGAAGCCAAATCATTCCTCAACTATTTCGTGAAAGTAACTTCCCGAATAATCAACATTTCTCCTTTCAGAATAGATAACAAGAAAGATAAAATTCTCAAAATGTTAAGTCACTAAAAATATTCTACTGAAGCTACTAGTCTTAACTTACCAATAACATATATAGGTTCACATATAATTTTGAGGGGAAAAAAATTAAAATATTATTATTTTAATAAATAATTATGAATATTTAGCTTTTGTGAAACTATTTACAGATATATAGCATTCATTCACACTCAATTTGGGCGTCAATGATCACGCCTAAGCTAGGGTTTAGATTTTAGAATTTTATGCTACGTGCCAATACCAGACGATTCACGCCTAATTTAGGAGTGAATCATCTGGTGTTGGCACATAGCACAAAAAAATCAACTTATGAACCGTAAAACTTTGGAAGATCATAAGTTTTAACTCAAGTATCTGAATCAGGTATTTTTTTTTGATTCCATATAACTTTTCGAGTTCTATGCAATGACACCTCATTTGAAATATTTTATCTCTCACAAACACAGTTTGAATTTGCAACAATAGTATTATAAAAGCGTTTAAACCCAGAAACCTTTGAGTTCTTTTCAAACTAACATCAAACACAGTTTTCTTTTTAAAAATCTTGAAATTGTAAAAAATAGTACAAAAAGCAAACATCTAACTTTGTTTAATAGGTAGTGCGTGAAGAATGACGTGATTTTATTTTGCAAGCTCCTCCACATTCATCGAAGAGAGACAGGAGCTCGCATACACAAGGAGAGAGTGTGTATGTTCTTTGTTTTTGTTGAGAAAATAATGTGTTCTCGTTTCGGTAGTCTCTTTTTAAAACAAAAATTAATTGATGATTTTTTTGGTTTGAAAGTCTAAATTAGATGATTTTTTTATTCCACATAACTTTTTAAAAATAATTTCAAAACAATTATATATTCATAATTATTTATTAAAATAAAAATATTGTAATTTTTTGGCCATAATCTTGAGTAGCCGTTAAAGAGAAACACTATAATTATTTGTCACAATGTTAAGGCACGCTTTGATGTTTTGGTAAAAGCCGTGGACCACTTTCACATTCACAAATGCATTTGTTTGGATAGCTGTCTCTCAATAGGTGGCATTGGCAAATAAAGTGAGTGTGATTTCTATTCAAATTTGGTTTGAAGTGCTAAATAAATAAATAGGGTTTTATTAGTGTTATGTAACATAATGTAAGTGTTGTTTCTAATTCTCACATCAAAAGAGAGAGAGAAAGTGGAATGATGAAAGAGAAAGAAAAATATGTAAATCCCACCTCTTTAATGTGTGTGTAAGAAAGTGAAGTTATATTATGTTAAATGATAAACATAAAACCCAAATAAATAAATAAATAACTAACTAACTGAAGGGGTTGGAATTGTGCAAGTACAAATATTTACACACTAGATGATAAAAGGAAAGCATCTCACTTTGATTTTCATATATGTTTTTTTAGAAAGAATTTAAATATTTTTATTTTTGATTTATTTTGCACTTTGAATTAATTTCGTAGATTAACTCAAAAAATCAAAATTTGTACGAACATGAAGAGAGTCAACTTACCTAAAAAATAATAATTAAGATTGAATTAACTAAAATACATATCGCATCACTTTACATATATGGAAAAAATAATCAACTTAATCTACAAATTCTTTTACTGTTAATACCAGGTATAACACGTACTTATCCTTGGCAAGGAAAAAAAAAAAAAAACGATTTCTTTGGGCAAAGAAGTACCTAATTTGAGAGTAGTAAATACTAAATAGTAAAGATTCACTCGCCAAGTACCATTTATCCTTCGCCCTTACAAGTTACAGTACAAATGCAGAACTAGTATGAATCGAGAGAGCAAAGAAACCCATTTCCTTACAATGACCAAACTACCCTCGCCCCATGGCTTAATCCTGACGTAAAAATCCCTCTCTACCTCTATCCTTTCTCGTCCATTCGCACTGAAAGAACCACAATGGACGGCGGCGGAAACAGAGCCGAAGCGGAGCGGTGGCTCTACACCGCGAACAAGCTACTGAGCGCACGCGACCTGCACGGGGCTCGCTCGTTCGCGATCCGTGCCCGCGAGTCTGACCCGACGTTCGACTCGTCTGAGCTACTCCTGACGGTGATCGACACCCTCCTCGCCGGAGAATCGCTGATCAACGACCAGCACCGCGACTGGTACGGGATCCTCCAAGTCCTCCGATACTCCTCCAACATGGACCACATCGCTGCCCAGTACCGCCGCCTCGCCCTCCTCCTCGACCCTCACCGGAACCCCTTCGCCTTCTCCGGCAACGCCTTCTCCCTCGTCCACGACGCCTGGTCCGTCCTCTCCATCCCTGCCAAGAAGGCCATGTACGACAGCGAACTCCGATTGCTCACCACCCCTCTGCCGCAGCAGCCTCAACCGCAACCGAAGAGAAACCCTAGATCTAGGGACGGCGCGACCGAGTCGAATCGGCAGAATCACGAGTCCGCCGAGTCGACCCGGCAAACTCGGACTGCCGGTGCCGAAACGGAGGGCGACACGAGCTTCTGGACCTCGTGCCCGTACTGCTACGTTCTGTATGAGTATCCGAAGGGGTACGAGGAATGCACCCTGCGGTGCCAGGGTTGCCGGAGGGGTTTCCATGCGGTGGTGATACGGTCACCGCCGTTGAATGGGAGAGATGTTTCGTTTTGCAGTTGGGGGTTTTTGCCGTTAGGATTTTCGGGTGATTCCAAAGATATCAATGGGTTTTCTTCCAATTGGAACCCGTTTTCCCCTTTGTTTCCTTGCCCCTTGAAAGGATCATCCAATAGGAAACCTCAGAAGAATTGGGCTTACTATGATGACGCCGCCACGGCCGCGTTTATTGAGATTTCTGACCCTAGCGAGGATGATTCTGATGATGGGGACTGGAGAGGAGTTGGTAAGAAGAAGAGGAGGAGGTCAAGGATTGAAAGGAGGAAAGGTTATGGCTATGGTAGTGTTCATGGTGGTGCTGCAGGGCATGATAATGTGGGTACTGGTGGGTCTGCAGTGCCAAGTGGTGGTAAGGCAGAGTCTAGTAAGAAAGCTGCATTGGCTAGTTCCAGGAGGAGGGGTGCAGGAAACTTGGATTTGAATGTGGAGTTCAGTAATGAGGTGGAGGAGCCTTCCCGCGGGGCGCGTGATCGAGAAGGGAACACAACTGGAAATGCTGAGGATAATATTGAAGGGATTGGGTTTTTTGAGGGTCTTGATGAATTCCTCAATAGCTTACCCATTCTCAATGTTGTGGCAGATGATAAGGTTAAGGGTCATTAGTCTTGTACAATCCTTTTTTTTTGGTTGTTGTAGAAGTAGATGTTGTTACTTGTATGCTTGTACTTGTAGTACAAAATGATGCTGAGCTATTGTGAATTCTTGGCATTGTTAAATTTTATAATAATTTGCGGCAGTATCTCCTTACTTTTTAGTTTTTAACTATTTGAAGAGGATTGCTTCATCTCAGGTAGATTGTGGTTGTACTATTGAGGAAGGATATATTACTGATTGATGTTTTGATTAAGTCACAGATATAAAGCGTGACTTGATTATCTATTGCATAATAGAGCTTGAGTTTTATTTGCCTTTCTTCCTAGGGTTCTGGTTCTGTTGTTTTCTTCTTGGGTGTTGTGTGGTTTCCTTCTAGTTTTGTAAGGAAAATGTTTTCAGATAAGCAAGTTATCTCTTGTCTGCTGCTTCTCTTAGTTTGACGTGTTAAAATGTTGGACCAATGAAATAGGTTGATAGAAGCTGTAATTCTGTCGAGAAGCGTTTATCCTGTTGTGTATGCTGAGGTGACCCTCTGTATCATGTTGTATTGCATATATCTAGTCATGTTTTCCTTTCATCACATCATTGCTAGTCTGTTTGATGCAGGCTTAAAAACATATAGTGTGGTTTTGAAAGGTAATTTCAGGGTGTAGTGATACCTGTGAGGTCTTTGGCATTGTCAACTACTCATGCAGTTTCATTGTGCTCGTGGAAACACGTTTTTAAATGGTTTCTCTACCTGCCTCAGCATTTTCAAAGTGCTAACATACCTGTGTTTGCTTATGAGTGCAATATGGCATTTGTACTTTTATGTTTACGTCGAATTGCTGATGTTGTACCAGGTTCTGCTTATCTTGTCTTTTCAAATGGTAGGTACCCCCTCCCCTACTTGTGCTTCTATTCCCTACAGAACTAGACTAATAATCTCTGCATAAAAAATTAGTTTTGATGATGATTTTAAAAGCTCACATTTGGTTCTGAATTCTGATGAAGCATCTTGCCAGGTTCTATCATCAATCTATTTGGAGTCCTTTTCTTGATATTAAGTATAAGATGATCAGAATAAGCTATACTTTCTTTCAGCATTTTAGACATAAGGAGTGTAATAATTTTAGAAACTAGTCATGAACAGGAATTATTGAAAGAATGACCTTCCTTTGTTAATTGTTTTTTGTTGTAGTTGGATGTGGTTATTATCTTTGCACCGATGGCTTTTTTTCTTTCCGCATTAAGAACTTTTGCATTTTCAGTTCCTATATGGAGAGTTCGTAAATACTAGGTCTAAGCAAATTATATATCTATTTGCTAACAGATAGAAAAAAATAGAAATACTAGTTACTGGTTATAACATTTGTTAGATTCCACCAGTTATAGGAATTGATTATAGTCACCTCTAATCATGTATGAGTTCTTCCTCACTAAATCCTTTACTACAAGCATGGTCCACAAGTGGACATGTCATAAGATTGTGACAAGTTCTACATGTTCGATTTTGTCATGTTGATTTTCCTTCTTTAGTCTTCCGCATATAAATATGCAAAAATTGCTTGTAGGCATATTTTACAATTAAGTGTTTTACTTTTTAAGTATTTATGCTGTCTGTTAGTTTGGTATTTTTTATAAGAGGAAAAGCTTCATATGAATAGCAAATAAAACGATATGTTCTCTTTGTCCCAGCAAATTTCTAATGTATCTTGCTATGAACATGAATGACTGTGATAGATCTCGTAAGCAGCTAATCTACTGTTCAAGCATGTTAAAATTATATACTTTTCATTATTCTGAACGCTTATTTACTAAAAAATACTAGCAATTAGTTTGTTTCTTATGTGTTTATCGATTCTGTATACGGTCATACTGGTTTTGGTTGCTACTTTGGCTTTGCTTTACCAAGAAAATAATTTGGTAATCTGTGTGTGGCTTCTTTTGCAGATAAAACCTTGTCATAAAGGAATGTTTTGTCGGTGATGTAATGAAAAACTTAGTCGTGATCTGTGTGTTGCTCTCTCTCTCTCTCTCTCTCTCGCCACATATGTAATGCTTGAAGTGGAGTTTGACATAACGGTCAGACACTCAAATTGCAATTGCAAACTAAAACTCTTACAGATTTATACAACTGGTATTTGACCCGAATGCACCCTGCGTAGAGCGGGAGCTTTATAGCTCCAGATTGCCCTTTCCATTTGCAATGCTTGTCTTTGAACCTTGTGGACTGTTGTCCTACCTAAGTTTTTGTTGACAACTTGAAGGTTATCAACCTGGCTAAGTAACTTTCAAAGCTCAAATGTTGGAAGAAACATGCTGTAATTAGCTTCGGTAATATGTGCAGCTGTAGGTTTACACTATGTAGCACCGATACTGACACAGAACACGTGACACGATACGACACGACATTCCGACACGTTAATTTTAAAAAATGTTATATTTCGACACGGACACATTTTTATATTAAATAATATTTTTAATTTATGTTGCGTATATTATATTTAATATTCAATAATTTATCACAAAATTAAAACTAAACTTATAATATTTATCAATTTTACAAAGAAACATAAGATATCCCAAATATTTATATTAAACTCAATAAAATTGTAATAATAATCTAACGAATCTAATAGTTGGAACTAAAAACTCAACGCAACGCAACCTTTAAACCTTTTTTTAAATTTCTATAATGCGTGTTGGAGTGTCGGGGAGTATCGGAGAGTCAGAGAGTGTCGAAAAGTATCGAACACGACACGTCACATCTACCGCCTGGAATCTGCTATGCTACATCACCTAATCCATTGATTCTAACATGCACCTTAACACCCAAGGCGCATTGATGCCCTAATCCATATTACGATGGAAGCACCAATCATTTTTGTGACTCGGATGTTGGAACTTGTAACAGGGGATTGAATCTTATTGTGAATTGACAACTGTATAATTAAATTTTAATATGTCAACTCAAATTTTCAAATTCAAGAGTGCGTATTTTTTCAAAAAATGATATAAAATTAACATACAAAATTATAAAAATGAAATTATGATTTCAGTTTTCCCATAATATATTATTGAAAAGCATTATCTTATAGTTTAAAAGATATATTATGCTCAACCTTTCACAAATCTTCTATTTTCAGCAAAAGGGAAAAGAAAAATGGTACCAAAATGTGAGGGGCACACACATTAAGAAGGTTGGTGGATGTCGAACTTCACTGGATTAGAGGCAAAAGAATTAATATATGAAATACAATTTATCATATTTAAATCTTTAGTTTCTTCGTCTTTCCTGGAGACAATTTTGCTCACTTAAATCTTTTCTTTCCTGATCTAAACAACTTTGCTCACTCTTCAAAACTGTCCCAACGCAAGCATGGTTGTTTTTTCTTTTCAAAGTACATGGAATAAATGATTTTTAAGTAAAACTATAATGGAATTTTTAAACTATTTTTCATGGTAGTTTATAAAAGACAGAGTTAGCAACAAGTTTTTGGTTATATATATTATTTCTTAAAGGGCATAGGGTAATGACGCATGGGGTACATACGACTGGTTTGTAGCACCTGCTTAATACATTGCTAATGAAACGTATGATTGCAGGACATTGATGGGACCTCAACATCATCAGCACCACTTTCATTGAACTATTCTGAAACTAAAGGTTTTACAAATCCAAGATCATAAGTAAGGCTCGGACTCAAGCTTAATTAAAATTGTTGAACCTCCAGTGTCTTCGGAGGACTCGTGGGAATCATGGCTCCGCTCGTACTAACGTACTAAGATTATATCAAATGTTAAAAATGCAATTATTTGATATATGCAAATGAACCCAAAAACTAAATCATTTGTGATATGATCCATTCCCTGCATTCTTCTTTGCTCTGCAGAGGACAAGATCTCTCATCATATAATTGGAAGCTGAATTTGGAATGATATATTAAATTTGATAAAACATATTAACATAACAGCTCAAGCTACATTAGAAGTTGAAAATCGTGGAAATTTCTTCATAGAAATTATAATACTTAGTTCACAACACTTACAGATGAAAGAAGTATATGACAATCAATATGAAATAGTAGTACAATCGATTGAAACAACCACAAATTGAACATATACTAAACCATGACAACCACTGTAACGTAGCTACAACAAATTACACAGAATTCGAAATTGAACTAAATCACATCACACCCAACAAATAGCACTGGACAACAGCCGCTTAAGACACGAGACAAGACAACTAAAGGCATAATTCAAACTTATGGCATGGTGGTTGGAATAGCTTTAGGAATCTCAGGGAATTCAGGGACTTTAGGAAACTCGGGCTTTGGCAATTCAGGGACTTTAGGAAATTCAGGTACCTTAGGCAACTCGGGCTTTGGTAATTCAGGGACCTTAAGCTCAGGCACTTCAAGTACCTTAGGCAACTCAGGCTTTGGTAATTCAGGGACCTTAGGTTCAGCCACCTCAGGCTTTGTCAATTCAGGAACCTTAGGAAAGTCAGGCTTTGGGAATTCAGGGACCTTAAGCTCAGGCACCTCAGGCTTTGGCAATTCAGGGATATTAGGCAACTCTGGTTTTGGCAATTCGGGGATATTAGGCAACTGTGGCATAGGTAATTCAGGGACATCAGGTAAGACAGGCTTTGACAAAGGTGGCAACTCAGGTTTAGGTAGCTGAGGCACTTCTGGCTCTGATAATGTTAACTCTAGAAGATTGCGTGCTGCGGCAACCATTGTGAGACTGGTCGTTGACAATAAGGTAAGAACCAGAAAGGGAAAAATCATTGTTGACAAAATGCAGGAAGCCATATTTTAATGAAGATGATACCAAGAGCTTAAATAGCGTAATAGGTTTGGAGCTCTTTGCAAAAGGTTTTGATATGCTCAGTGAGTGTAGTATGCAGATGTTATATGTGGGGCTTTTATAGGCGTAATTGTGTAACTCAGAGATGGGTAAGCAGGATGAGGTGGTGGAGTTGTTTAGTATTGGTAGTTCAACTTCTTACCTATACAGTATCTCTTATAATAAACTTTAATTTGAACCATTGTTGGTCAACAGACCTATCTGCATTCGAATGGAATGAAACCTATTTGTGACCTTTCGGATTAAAAATCCCTTTATCCTTGAAAGCCAATGTTATCAGCGACAAAGCTACCTCAATACTGAGGATTGCTAATTATGTTTGCCAATCAAAATAATTCCTTTAGCTTTACTAACTGCCATGTCAACAAACCAGATTCATCCTCAACCCAACAAACTATAATAAAATATTGTCTATGAAAATTAAATTGTAGAAACTGATAAGAATATTAGCGAAAGACAAAATCAATCTCAGAAAAAGTCAAAGACTAGATAACCAATAAGCAACCATATTGGCACACCTTCACATCTCTATGTATGTATATACAACCCAAACTTTCTAATAGGCTTTCCTACGAACAAAGCAATACACATTAGATTGTAGTACTTGTCATTCAATAGAATTTAAAAAAAAAAAAAAAAAAAACCCTAAATTGGTAAGAGACTTCAAAGGAGAGTTTCTATCAAACAATCATATATTGCTGGCAATGGGCATAGGATAGCGACACAAGGGACACATATGACTAGTTTGCAGCCATTGCACAATACATCGTTGGTGAAACACGTGATCGCAGGGCATTGCCGAGACTGCTTTGCCTCCATTATCACCAGCTCTCACAACGAACTCTTCCATGAAGATAGGACAGTACTCATCCAGTTTCGTAACCTTGACCTTCTTCAGAGAATGAATAGCATTCTTGGAAGCTGGAATCATTCTAAAATCTTGTGCGGACTCTTCCATCATTGCTTGCATGACATCATCGTATTCCTCGTTGTCCACTATAATGAACACTTGCACATGGAACACTCGATAACCCGAATCCGAAGGTATTGCAAATGCAAGGTTGTTGTCGAATAGTTGTTGAACACTACTCATGATGCTTGGAATTATCGCATCAGGCACTCCAGAGGGAATGTTTGGGTGTGATAAATGGGACCACAGAAAATCTTGACCTTCTTGGGAAAAGGTTTGACAAGCTATTTCTTGACAAGAATGGGTCAAGGTTGTTAGGCTCCTAAGTGCGTCGTCGGAGTTTGAATCATATAAGCAAAAAAGAGCTTTGATGTGGAATTTGAACTGATCAGTGGGGGTATTAGCTATTTGAGCACTCTGCATTTCCAGAAAGGAAGAGAAGAAAAACTAACTTTGTATATTTTCATTCAGTGTGTAATTGGTACAAATGATTCAGTATATAAAAGCACCTAAGAGAATCTGTTGTAACAAACTCATGGTGACGTGGCTACAAAACAGGAAAGAAAAGCTAACAGGTGCCAAACAGAAAGCAATGCTGACAAAATGCTAGCCGAATACAAATTGCTAACAGAATACAATCAAAAAAAGAAAAATATGTAATACTGTAATACTCCCCCTCAAGATGGGGAGTAGATGTTGATAATCCCCATCTTGCAGAGAAGATTGGAAAACTGTGATGGATGCAAAGCTTTTGTGAGGATATCTGCTAGTTGATGAGAGGATTGAACATGAAAAGTCTTGAGTGTGCCACGAACAATGCAATCGCGGACAAGGTGACAATCAATCTCAATGTGCTTTGTACGCTCATGGAAAACTGGGTTTGCAGCAATATGTATGGCAGATTGATTGTCACAAAACATGTGTGCAGCAGAAGGGTGCGAAAAACCAAGATCTTTGAGAAGATTAAGTAGCCATAGAATTTCACAAGAAGCACGAGCCATGGAACGATACTCAGCTTCGGCAGAGCTACACGAAACAGTATTTTGCTTCTTCGATTTCCAGGATATTAGAGAATTGCCAAGAAAAACGCAGAAGCCAGAAACAGAACGTCTGCTATCCAAGCAGGAAGCCCAGTCAGAATCGCAAAAAACCTTTAGTTGAACAATTGAAGAACAGGGAAAAAATAACCCCTGACCAAGTGTGGCTTTGACATAAGCCAGAATCCGATGAGCAGCTTGGAGATGGGGGACCCGAGGAGTAGCCATAAACTGGCTCAAGTGATTGACAGCAAAGCATAAGTCAGGTCTAGTGATGGTTAAGTAGAGTAATCTGCCAATGAGTCTTCTAAAAATAGTGGGATCAGGTAGAAGATCCCCATCATGATTTGACAGCTTCGAATTAACTTCCAATGGGGTGGATTTTGGTTTGCACCCAGAGAGGCCTGAATCCTTTAAAATTTGGAGTGCATAATGGTGTTGGCATAGGGAGATACCCTTGGAGGAACGAGCAACCTCCAAACCCAAAAAATATTTGGTTGGACCATGATTTTTAAGCCTAAACTTGTTGTCCAATAGAGATGTAAAGTGCTGCACTTCATGAAAATTGTTAGAAACAACAAGTATGTCATCGACATAAACTAGCATGGCAGTGAAAGAAGAGTCTGAATGCTTCACAAATAAGGAATAATCAGATTGGGACTGTGTGAACCCAAGAGAGAGCAAAGTAGAAGAAAATTTGGCAAACCATTGCCTAGATGCTTGTTTGAGACCATACAGTGACTTGTGTAAATGGCAAACAGCATTGGGAAGAGACTCACCCTTACCATGATAACCAGGGGGTAAAGTCATATATATCTCTTCAAGGAGCTCTCCATGTAAAAAAGCGTTATTGACATCTAACTGAATTAGATGCCAATTTTTTAGTGCAGCAAGAGCAAGGATCACCCGAACTGAAGTAAGCTTGGCTACAGGTGAAAAAGTGTCAGAAAAATCAACTCCTTCTTGTTGTGTAAACCCCTTGGCAACCAAACGGGCTTTGAACCTTTCAACAGAGCCATCAGAATTGTACTTGACCTTATATACCCATTTACAACCAATTGGGGATTTTCCAGGAAGAAGAGAAACAAATGTCCAGGTCTTGTTATTTTGTAAAGCCAATAATTCATCTTGCATGGCAGATTGCCATTCAGGGAGCTGGGAGGCTTCACCATAGGATGTAGGTTCAAAATGATTATGCAGGGAATTAACAAAGGCAGTATGTGTAGGGGAAAGCTTTGAATAAGAAAAAGAAGCAGAAAGAGGATGGGATGTGGAAGAGGAACAAATGTAAGTATCTAAGTGGCTAGGAGGCTTTCTAGTTCTGGATGGTCTAGAAGAAACAATAATGGGGTTGGGAGGAATGGTTGGAGTTGATATAGGCAGTGGGGTAATTGGAGAGGATGAATTTTTGAAAGGAAAAACGTTTTCAATGAAGTTGACATCTCTTGAGATAAAAGTGCGGTTGGAGGCAATGTCAAGGAGTTTGTATCCTTTATAGCCAGGTGGATATCCTAAAAATACAGCAGGTACAGCCCTAGGGGAAAATTTGTGTCTGTGTTTGTGTAGGGTGGAACCATAGCATTGGCAACCAAAAATGCGAAGGTGGTCATAGGTGGGAGGTTTGTGAGATAGGATTTCAAAGGGAGAATTATGAGAAAACAAAGGGGATGGGGTTCTGTTAATAAGGTATACAGCTGTTAACACACAGTCTTGCCAATATTCCAGGGGAATATTGGACTGAAAATGCAAGGCGCGAGCAACATTTAAAATGTGCTGATGTTTGCGCTCTACCACCGAGTTCTGCTGCGGTCTATCAACACAAGAGTGAAATAATTGTATACCCTTGGAAGAGTAAAAATCAGACAAAAGAAACTCAGGAGCATTATGACATCTTATTGACTTGATGGCAGTATTATACTGATTTAAAGTGAGAGCATAAAAATCAATGAAAGCAGAACGAAAATCAGATTTGCATCGTAAAAAATATGTCCAAGTGAAGCGAGATGCATCATCAACAATTGTGAGAAAATATTTTGATCCTTCAACAGAAAAAGGGTGAAATGGACCCCAAATATCACAGTGAATAAGAGTAAATGAAGAAGAGGACAATTTGGGATTTAAAATAAATGGTAAGCGTTTTTGTTTGGCCAAAGGGCAAACGTTACATGTATGAGACGCATCTAAAAATGATGTAGTGTGTAAAACATCTTTCATTGAATTTAAAACAGAATAGGAGAGGTGACCTAAACGAGCATGCCAAAGCTCAGAATTGCATGAATTTACAGAGAGACAGAGGGGTGGGGGAATACAGGAATCAGGAAAAAAATTGGATGTATCAAGGACATAAAGACCTTCATGATGCTTAGCAATCCCAATCGTCTTGGCCGTTATAGGGTCCTGTATCAAACAATGGGAGGAAGAAAAATTAGCGATAAGAGACGAATCATGGGTCAGGGAGCTAATTGACAAAAGGTTAAAACGAAAAGAGGGGACAAATAAAACATTTTGGAGAGTAAAGGAAGGAGACAAAATAATGGAAGCAGAGCCAGTTACAGGGACAGACGTACCATTAGGAAAAGAGACAATAGAAGCAGTGGAAGGAGGTAAGATGGAAGAATTAGAAAACAAGCGAGGAGAAAATGATACATGGTGGGTTGCACCAGTATCTAAAATCCAACAAGAATCAGAAAAAGAAGAAGGACGCTTACCATTGAAGCTTGCGATAGATGGGGAGGAATCAGTGACCGAAGCTAAGGAGGAAGTGACCGGAGCAGCAGAACGTTGGTGGATGAGCGATAGAAGATGCGCATACTGAGACTGTGTGATGGCAGCTGAGGGTGGTGGAGCGTGGTTAGGGTTCACGGTATTGGGGAAGTTAGGGATCGAAGAATGAGGGTGAGGGAATGGAAACACAGAGGAATTGGCTTGGGCTGAGGCATTGGGTGAATGGGTGGGCAAATTGGGCCTAGGTGGCCTGGGCCTGTATCCAGGAGGGAACCCATGGAGCTTAAAGCACTTATCTCTAACGTGACCCTGGTTGTGGCAGTAGGTACAAAATGGGCGAGAACGGCGAGGAGCGGTGACGGCAGCCGTGGTTGGCGGTGGGTTCGAATCAGTTGAAGAAGGACGGTTAGGGGATGTGGATATGGAGTTGAGGAGGGGTGTATCAGGAGAGGTGGGAACATGAATGTTGATTTGGCGTTGCCTCTCTTCCTGAAGAACAAGTGAGAAAACCTTGGCAATTGATGGAAGAGGATCCATTAAGAGGATCTGAGCTCGCACAGAGGAGAAGGACTCATTAAGGCCCATGAGGAACTGAAGGGCATCATGTTGCTCTTGTGAAAGCGAAACTTGTCTCAGACCTCCACAAGTGCACGAAGGAGTGGGAATGTAAGCCTGGAGCTCATCACAGAGGGTTTTTAACTTTGTGTAATAAGAGTTGACATCAAGAGATCCTTGATGAAGAGAAGAAATATATTGTTTCAGTTGGAAGATGCGTGGTCCGTTGGCTTGCTGAAAGCGAGTGCGTAGATCATCCCAGGCGTCAGAGGCATTTGAGAAATAAACCAAGCTATCTGCAATAGCTTTGGAGACAGAATTAAGGATCCAAGAGATGACCATTGAGTTGCACCGATTCTATGCTGGAAATAGGAGATCGGAATTGGAAGGACGGGGAAGAGATCCGTCTATGAAAGCTGATTTGTTTTTGGCAGTGAGAGCCAAAAGCATAGCTCGGTTCCAGGAGCTGTAATTGGTACCATCAAGGGTATGGGTCACAAGGACAAGACCAGGGTGATCACTGCTCTGCAGGGAGTAGGGGCTTGCTGTATCCTCCATTGAAGAAGCACCGGAGGACATGTCAGAAGTCGACGGAGGACGGTTGTTGCCTTGAGCCATCAAAAAGCTCTTGATACCATATTAGCTATTTGAGCACTCTGCATTTCCAGAAAGGAAGAGAAGAAAAACTAACTTTGTATATTTTCATTCAGTGTGTAATTGGTACAAATGATTCAGTATATAAAAGCACCTAAGAGAATCTGTTGTAACAAACTCATGGTGACGTGGCTACAAAACAGGAAAGAAAAGGTAACAGGTGCCAAACAGAAAGCAATGCTAACAAAATGCTAACCGAATACAAATTGCTAACAGAATACAATCAGAAAAAGAAAAATATGTAATACTGTAATAGGGGGTGACCATGAGGTTGGGACGGTGTTGCTGTTGGTCATTGACAGTATAAAGGGTTATGGTTGTTAATCTTGATGTTGTGGGAGAGATTGTATTCTGCATTTATTTGGTTGTAGACTGGTAGTATTGAATGTGATTCTGGAGATGCCATAACAAAGAAGAGACTCAACTATTGTATGACTTCTTGGAATCTTGGGGGGATATACACTTATTATATAGAAGCATGTCTTTTTTATAAACGGTTACTTGATAGTTGTCACTTGTCAGCCAAAGGTTAATTAAGGAAAGATCCTCTCTGAAGATTTAACGAATACTTAATAGTTGTCAGCCAAGGATTAAGGAAAGACACTTTTTTAAGATTTACTGTTGGTTTTGGGGAATTTTGAAATTGCATTTGTGCTGTTTATGAATTAACTGTAGATGAACAAAATTAAAATTTAAAAGCAAGTTGGAAAAAGCCATTTTGGTCTCGTAGAGAATATAAACTCGTTTAAACTCGTTTAGGGAATTAAAGTAATAGAGTGATGCTACCCGGTAAGTCTACCGATCGCACAAGTAATACAATGATAAGAAAAGTATCGTCTCCACAGAGATTGTGATCAAATATCAAATAATCGTTCCTTTTAAGACGGGAAGAGATCAAATAGATGTGACAAATATTGTGGAATTGAGTAATAATAAGAACTAAAATAAAAACGTATTTTTGGAATTTTTGTTGTGAAAAATAAAACAGAGATTGATTTTATAAAATATGAGAAGGCATTATAGCTAGAGTGCACTCACTATATGATCTCACTTTTTACTCTGGATTGATTTAAAATACTCATTTAAATAAATACTCAAATAATTTATTGTAACACCCCGTGTTAACTCGGTTTGATAACATGTCATCGTATTAAGCCACACTTAATTAAAAATGCGGAATATCTTTTTCTTTTCAATTATGATGTCATTAATCATTACCAACTTGCTTACTTAATCAGTTAATAAAACATTGTCTGTATGTAAATTGCAAAAGACAACTAACTGAAATACCTCATTAATTAAATACATAAATATGTCTCTAGTCATGGAACTACAACACGTAGCCCGGACAACCCTGATAATTTATACAACTCAGTTAAACTAAGACATAACAGAAATCAAAGTGGCATGGACAAACCCCATGCTCACCCAAATAAGGCACAAGCCCAACAACAGTCTCAACAGCAGCAACATAATAAAAGTAAGCTAAAGACATAACATCAGCAGATAAATCCAGCATCCAACCATATCAGCATTTAAACAGTAATATCATCAACTAAGCTCCGGCCTCCTGCCGCCAGAGGCATCAGCCCCCAAGTTACCTGAAATAAGCGCCCCAAACGTGGGGTGAGATATCTAAACAAGAAATCTCAGTAAGACAAAGGGTCCTCATGGATCTTCCACCCCAAGCTCACTTACATGTGCAATATAAGTTCAAAAGCAGTTAACAGTATAAGTTCTCAAAATAGTGCAATGTAGCAGATAATCATGTCATGTGTGTTATAGCAATTCTACTGATGAGAGAAGTGTAGGAATCCATCTAAACCCACACGGTACTAGCCATTCGTTGCACCCACCCACAAGACCTCCCCTTGGCCTCCTGTCGGCGTAACAACAAATACATATCATAAGCAATTGCACTTAAAAGCTCATCAGCATTTCAATAAAACAGTACATGAAAACACATCATGCATACAACCATCCCCCCATGGGAAATGATGGAACCAAACAATGGCTAAACCGAGGACACGAAAGCTTACCTCGCAAGCTAACTATCCAATGTCAAGGGTCCACACAGTTCAAGGTCCACACACAGCAGTATCACAATCTGTTTTGGGACCAGCAATCATATTAATAACCATAGCTCATAAGAATAAACATAAAGACTACGTTTTCCTTTTACGTTTTACGTCTTTAGGCTTCTCACAAATCCACAAGCCCTTAATCACTTGATTCTGACTTAGTTTAATTATTACAGACGTTCAACTTCATCAACATAGGGTCCACAAACCCATAGCTCAGTTCTGTATAAACAGTACCTTCACTGTTCACGAAAACCCAGAATATCCGGATATTTGTCGGGGGCATATCCCGATATCCCATATCCGGATATCATATCCGGATATCCATATTCGGATATCCGAAGACCCCATATCCAGATATGCATATCCGAATATCATATTCGGATATCATATCCAGATATTTCGCGACAGAATGCAGTTCTGCATTTCGCGAGATATCCTTCCCAAAGGTGACTCATTTCATGCATACAGAAGCCCAAACATGCGATTTAAGGTGTGTTTAACATTACCCAACCTTAAGTTAGCAACTTTAGTTCATTAAATGCATCAAGGTTCCATTTTTAATCATTAAACTCATGATCAAAGGTTATACAACTTACCCAAGGTTCAGAATAGAAATGGATGATGCTCTTTGTAGCGCCTGACCGCTTCAAGAATCAATAACTATCCCCACATACTAACACGAGACTTTTCAGTGTTCTTTTTTCCTCACTCGCACACTTCCCGGGAAAACTTCCCAGGAGGTCACCCATCCTAGAATTGCTCAAGGTCAAGCACGCTTAACTGTGGAGTTCTTCTGATCCAGGCTACCGAAAAGCAGATGCATCATGTCAGCATAGGTAGTACCAATTAATTCTTATAAGTTATCCCAAACTGTGCAGTCTTATACCTGCACAGCCTTTGGAATCCCTCTCTTTCGGGTGTCGATTCGATTCATTCAAGCATGTAACCCCTCGCTGGAAGCCTGTCAGGAGCCGCTCCTTATTCATGCCTCTTTGCACTGGCGATCACTCCCCGCCCTCGTCAGCGCTCGGGATGTTACATGCCCACCAGCTTCCGCCTGGTTTGTCCTCGAACCACACCGTACTGGATGAGAGGCCCTGCTCTGATACCACTTGTAACGCCCGGCCACTTCAAGAATCAATGACTATCCTTACATACTAACTCGAGGCTTTTTAGTGTGCTTTTTTCCTCACTCCCACACTTCCCGGGAAAACTTCTCAGGAGGTCACCCATCCTAGAATTGCTCCAAGTCAAGCACGCTTAACTGTGGAGTTCTTCTGATCGGGGCTACCGAAAAGCATATGCATCTTGTTAGCATAGGTAGTACCAATTAATTCTTATAAGCTAACCTAAACTGTGCAGTCTTATACCTGCACAGCCTTTGGAATCCCTCTCTTTCGGGTGTCGATTCGATTCATTCATGCATGTAACCCCTCGCTGGAAGCCTGTCAGAAGCCGCTCCTTATCCGTGCCACTTTGCACCGGCGATCACTCCCCGCCCTCGTCAGCGCTCGGGATGTTACACTCTTGGAGCTCACTTGGATCTCCCAAAGTCCAGCACACACAAGCACACGAAAATGGCACACCACCAAGGTTCTTTCTCACCAAAAATGACTTCTTGAAGCCTCCAATGGCATGAACAAAGGCTCACACCAAGGGACACACCAACTCAGCCCCTGAATACCTCACTAGTAGCATCTAAACTCAGAACACAAGGCTTTTCTCCCACACAAATCTCAATCACACCCAACCATAGTGTTTTGATGAAGAAAGGGTAGAGAAAGGTGGTTACTTTGGAGGTTTCTAAGTGAAGTTGAAGGTGACAAGAAGGAGAGGATGATCATCAGCCACAATGCCTCACGTAGAGTTAATAGTATGGCCTAGGGTTGTGTGCAAAAGTTGCATTTATAGTCACTTAGGAATTAAACACACAGTATTAGTGCTAATAGCTACGCTTAGCATCTTAATCCCAAACTTTGGAATCTGAACCTACTCATTTTTCTAAGATTTATCATATTTTTATTTTATTTTTCGCAGCAACTTTCTGGTACGCGCTTTTCCATAGCCAGTATCAGTTGTGGCACCATTTCTCAGTATTTTAACTTAAAACTTGTTTTACAAGTCCTATATATTATTCTAGGAATTATCATGCACTTATTATAATTTTCTGAGATACTTTTTCGGTACGCATTTATACCGAGTAGCAGAACCGGTCTCTGCACTTTTCGTCAGAAAAGCTACTTTCAGCATTATCACCCACTTACTATAATTATTTAATCCTCATAATAATTATTAGGGTCAATTATGGAATCATTTCCTAATTTCTCATAATTAATTAATTAACTTCCTTAATTAACGGTGCAAGTTCTTACATTCACCCCACCTTTTTAAGGATTTTGTCCTCAAAATCAGAATATACATGTCTCTGAAGTCGGGATACTGCCGGAGAAGCTCGTCCTCTCGCTCCCAGGTACACTCTTCAGGAGTTCTTCCTGTCCATTATACTTTGACCATCGGAATGATCTTGCTCCTCAACTGCTTCTCCCCACGATTGAGAATCTTGAGTGGTGCGACGAGAGTTTTCAAGTTCTCACGAACCTCCACATCATCCGGTTGCACCACGTGCGAAGGATCCGCTACATACTTGCGAAGCTGAGACACGTGAAACACGTCGTGGATGTTGGCCAAGTTCGGAGGCAAGGCAAGCCGGTAGGCAACAGGTCCTACTCTACTAAGGATCTGGTATGGCCCAATAAATCGCGGGCTCAGCTTCCTCACTCCAAGTTCCCGACCAACACCGTGACAGGTGAAAGTCTCACAAACACTTGCTCACCCTCACTGAACTCCAGTGGACGATGCTTAACATCATAGTAACTCTTTTGGAGATTCTGCGCCTGCTTCAGCTTTGCTCGAATCAACTGGATCTGCTGGGTAGTATCTTGGATAAAATCCAAGCCAAACAACTCCTTCTCTCCAACCTCAGACCAGCAGGTAGGAGTACGACACCTCCTACCATATAACGCCTTGTAGGGTGCCATGCTCAGGCTAGCATGGAAACTGTTGTTATACGAAAATTCAACCAACGGATGGTACCTATCCCATGCTGAACCCTGCTCCAATGTGCAAGCCCTGAACATGTCCTCAAATGTCTGGATGGTCCGCTCAGTCTATCCGTCAGTCTGAGGGTGATAGGCTGTACTCAGTCTCAATTGAGTTCCAAAAGCTTCCTGCAGTGCCTCCCAGAACCGAGATGTGAACTTCGGGTCCCTATCACTAATGATACTCTCGGGCATCCCGTGAAGCCTCACGATCTCGCGAACATACAGTTTGGCCAACTGCTCTGTAGTGAAGCTCACCTTCACTGGAAGAAAATGGGTAGACTTTGTCAATCTGTCCACAGTGACCCATATAGAGTCACAGCCAACCTGAGTCTTCGGCAAACCCACAACGAAGTCCATGGAAATGCTCTCCCATTTCCATTCCGGAATCTCAAGAGGTTGAAGCTTACCAGATGGCTTTTGGTGTTCTATCTTCACCTTCTGGCAAATCAAACGCTTGGACACACACACAACTATGTCCTTCTTCATTCTTGGCCACCAGAAGTTTCTCTTCAAGTCTTGATACATCTTTGTTGCACCAGGGTGGACAGTAAACTGGCCTTTATGGGCCTCTGCCATAACCTTTTCGGTCAAAGGACCCCGAGGAACCACAATCCTCTTCTGAAAGGTCAACAATCCATCCTCGTTCCAAGACACACCGTCCTGGTTCCTCACATAATCTAGGCACTCTCTCTGCATTTGCGCCTCTTTGATCTTTTCCATGAGCTCATCCTCCACTCGTACGGTTTCCATTTCGAGAAGTGTACCCCCAAACAAAGAGGTCACTGTCAGATCTCGAAACTGCTCAATGATATCGTAATCACCCATGGTCAAACTAGATAGACTCACGGATTTCCGACTCAAAGCATCAGCTACCACATTGGCCTTGCCAGGATGGTACCTTAACTCAAAGTCGTAGTCCTTCAGATATTCCATCCATCTCCACTGTCTCATGTTCAGCTCCTTCTGATCAAACAGATATTTCAAGCTCTTGTGGTCACTGAACACAGCAAACTTCATCCCAAACAGATAATGCCTCCAAATCTTGAAAGCAAACACAATAACAGCCAACTCCAAACCATGAGTCGGGTAGTTCTCCTCATGAGGCTTCAACTGCCTCGAAGCATAGGCGATCACTTTGCCCAACTGCATCAACACACAACTGAGCCCTTTTCCGGAGGCGTCGGTGTAAAGCTTGACTTCCTCAGCAGGATCAGGAAGGACCAACACATGTGCAGTAGTCAGTCTCTCCTTCAACTTCTGGAAACATTCCTCACATTCGTGAGTCCACACAAAAGGAGTCTCCTTCTGAGTAAGGCGAGTCATTGGCAGAACCAACATGGAAAATTCCTTGATGAACCTCCGGTAGTACCCTGCCAAACGCAGAAAGCTCCTCACATCAGTTACCATCTTGGGCCTCTCCCAATCAACACTGCCTCAATCTTGTTCGGATCTACTGCAACTCCTTCTCCAGAAATGACATGCCCAAGAAACTTCACAGACTTGAGCCAAAACTCACATTTAGAAGGCTTAGCATAAAGCCTTTTCTCTTTCAGCACTTGCAAGACAATCCTCAAGTGCTCCGCATGTTCCTCCTCAGTCTTGGAGTAAATCAATATGTCGTCAATGAAGACGATCACAAACTGATCCAGGTACAGTTGGAAAATCTTGTTCATGTAATCCATGAACATTGCGGGTGCATTGGTGAGTCCAAACGAAATCACCAAATACTCAAAGTGACCGTATCGTGAACGAAAAGCGGTCTTCGGGACATCCTCCGACTTCATCCGAATCCGATGGTATCCGGATCGGAGATCTATCTTCGAATACACACAAGCACCCTTCAGTTGATCCAACAGATCATCAATGCGCGTAAAGGGATACTTTTTCTTGATTGTCACCTTGTTCAACTGTCTGTAGTCGGTGCACAATCACATATCCCGTCTTTCTTTTTCACAAAAATGACCGGTGCTCCCCATGGAGATACACTCGGTCGAATGAAGCCCTTTCCTGCAAGGTCCTCAATGTGCTTCTTCAGCTCCGCCAACTCTGGTGGCGACTTCCGATATGGAGCCAACGACACGGGCCCCACACCAGGCAATAAGTCAATTGAGAACTCTATCTCCCGCTATGGCAGAAACTCAAGAATATCCTCAGGAAACACCTCGAGGAATTCCCCCACCACAGGAATGCCAGTGATATCCTCTTGTGTCCCACTCACCAAACCTCCCAACATGACATAACTGAATGCCCCTGCTCGCAAAGCCCTCCTAGCCTGCAGCAATGAAATATATGGCGAGGAACTAGTTGTGGAATCACACGGAGACATCACCACTCTCTTGGCACAACAATCAATCAATGCACAGTTTCTGGACAACCAATCCATGCCCAGAATAATCTCTAAGTTGGCCATCGGCAATCCTATCAGATCCACCGAAAAGTCACGGCCATCCCACTGAAACACGACATCTCGAAGCACAGTGGAGGTATCACACTCTTCTCCGGTGGCGGTGGTAACCCGCAACGGTGGAGAAAGCACATACATAGGCAACTCAAGCCCCACAGCAATCGGGGTAGCAATGAATGAATGTGTAGCCCCAAAGTCAAACAAAACATCCACAGATGATGCACCAATGGTAACAGTACCTCTGACTAGGTTCGGAGCTCGGTTCGACTGCTGCCGATCTAGTGTATAAACTCGCCCCATGGCATGTGGCACATCTGACGCTGCTGTAGGTGGAAGGGGAACATCTGCAATGGAACTGCACGAACTGCTGCAGCTCTTGCCGTCGATGACAGACAATCTCTAGCATAGTGGCCCTCCTTGCCACACTGGAAACATATGGTCTGACCGGTAGCACACGAGCCCAAATGAAACTTCCCACATCCCGAGCATCTGGGAGGAGGAGGTCTCGCTGTACTCCCCTGAGTCGTAATCCTCTTGAACTGATTCGGCGCTTGCCTAGCCGCCAACTGCTTTCCTTTGCCCTGACCAACAAACTTTTCGTCCTTCCATGAACTGGAACTACCAGTTCCCTTCACATCAGCAATCTTAGCCCTCTTGGCCTTACTCGTGATACAGACATCCTCGATGTCCTTACACTGCTGCGCCAAAGTACCGAAGTCCCTCGATGCAGCTCCAGCAACATGCTCAGCAATCACCTCACTATGTCCCCTGCAGAACTTAGCAGCCAAAAAGGTCAGAGTGGGCACAACCATATGAAAGTATGTAAACTTCACCAGCTCATTAAACTTGGCCAGGTACTCGTCAATAGACATCAAGCCCTGAACCAATCTATCAAATACCCCCTGCTTCCTTTCCTGTGCATCATAGGGGAAATATCTGCCTAAGAAGCAGTCCTCGAAGAATGGCCACGTTATGATATGACCCTGCAGCTCATAAGCCTGAGAGGTGTTCATCCACCACTCGTGTGCATCTCCCTCCAGCATGTTAGTGGAGAACATCAGCTTCTGCGGGTCCGAACACTGCATGTCCCGAAATATCTTCTCCAATGCCTGCAACCATCTAGCAGCAGCAATGGGATCCAGTGACCAGTCAAAAGAAGGTGGCTTATGCTTACGGAAAGCATTCAGCCGACGGTCTAAAGTATCGCGGTCCTCAGCAGGCACCACATAGGGCTCCATCACCCAGGTAGTATGACCAGTTCCCTTAACATGGCTTTGGCTCTCCTCCTACAGACTAGGTGGAGGTGGAGGAAGTGGTGGCGATGGAGGTGGCGGTAGACGGAACTGACCCTCAGCACGGCCAGCCCTCATCTCCTCCAACATGACCCTCATCATGGTCATGTTCGCCAGCCTGTTCGCCTCGAGAACATCTTCAGTGGCTTTCTGGTTCACCTCTCGCAAGGCGTCCATCATTGCCTGGTTGGCCAATCTAGTGGCCTCCTGATCGGCTAACCTTGCCGCCTGCATCTCAGCCAATGCAGTCAAGACTGGATCCAGTCGATCCTCATTTGTCTCTTGGTTTCTCTGGGACCTTACCATGACTCTGCACAAGTTACACAAGAATGAGTTGATCAGGCCCACGCTATGTGGTCACACATACATCATCGTAATAATAACCCATTAGAGTAAACACACAAGACGGACACACGTCCTAAGTTATTACAATACATACAGGCTTTTCCCTAGAAAGTGCTCTGATACCATAAAATGTAACACCCCGTGTTAACCCGGTTTGTTAACATGTCATCGTATTAAGCCATACTTAATTAAAAATGCGGAATATCTTTTTCTTTTCAAGCCATTAATCATTACCAACTTGCTTACTTAATCAGTTAATAAAACATTGCCTGTATGTAAATTGCAAAAGACAACTAACTGAAATACCTCATTAATTAAATACATAAATATGTCTCTAGTCACGGAACTACAACACGTAGACCGGACAACCCTGATAGTTTATACAACTCAGTTAAACTAAGATATAACAGAAATCAAAGTGGCATGGACACACCCCATGCTCACCCAAATAAGGCACAAGCCCAACAACAGTCTCAACAGCAGCAACATAATAAAAGTAAGCTAGAGACATAACATCAGCAGATAAATCCAGTATCCAACCATATCAGCATATAAACAGTAATATCATCAACTAAGCTCCGGCCTCCTACCGCCAGAGGCATCAGCCCCCAAGTTACCTGAAATAAGCGCCCCAAACGTGGGGTGAGATCTCTAAACAAGAAATCTCAGTAAGACAAGGGGTCCTCAAGGATCTTCCACCCCAAGCTCACTTACATGTGCAATATAAGTTCAAAAGCAGTTAACAGTATAAGTTCTCAAAATAGTGCAATGTAGCAGATAATCATGTCATGTGTGTTATAGCAATTCTACTGATGAGAGAAGTGTAGGAATCCATCTAAATCCACACGGTACTAGCCATTCGCTGCACCCACCCACAGGACCACCAAGGCCTCCTGTAGGCGCAACAACACAATACATATCATAAGCAATTGCACTTAACAACTCATTAGCATTTCAATAAGACAGTACATGAAAACACATCATGCTTACAACTATCCCCCCATGGGAAATGGTGGAACCAAACAATGGCTAAACCGAGGACACGAAAGCTTACCTCGCAAGCTAACTATCCAATGTAAGAGTCCACACAGTTCAAGGTCCACACACAGCAGTATCACAATCTGTTTTGGGACCATCAATCATATTAATAACCATAACTCATAAGCATAAACATAAAGACTACGTTTTCCTTTTACGTTTTACGTCTTTAGGCTTCTCACAAAGCCACAAGCCCTTAATCATTTGATTCTGACTTAGTTTAATTATTACAGACGTTCAACTTCATTAACATATGATCCACAAACCCATAGCTCAGTTCTGTATGAACAGTACCTTCACTGTTCACGAAAACCCAGAATATTCGGATATTTGTCGGGGGCATATCCAGATATCCTATCCGGATATCATATCTGGATATCAGAAGACACCATATCCAGATATCAATATCCGGATGATATCTAGATATTTCGCGACAGAATGCAGTTCTGCATTTCACGAGATATCCTTCCCAAAGGTGACTCATTTCATGCACACAGAAGCCCAAACATGCGATTTAAGGTGTGTTTAACATTACCCAACCTTAAGTTAGAAACTTTAGTTCATTAAATGCATCAAGGTTCCATTTTTAATCATTAAACTCATGATCAAAGATTGTACAACTTACCCAAGGTTCAGAACAGAAATGCATGATGCTCTTAGAGCTCACTTGAAGCTCCCAAAGTCCAGCACACACAAGGACACGAAAATGGCACACCACTAAGGTTCTTTCTCACAAAAAATGGCTTCTTGAAGCCTCCAATGGCATGAACAAAGGCTCACACCAAGGGACACCCTAACTCAGCCCCTCAACACCTCACTAGCAGCATCTAAACTCAGAACACAAGGCTTTTCTCCCACACAAATCTCAACCACACCCAACCATAGTGTTTTAATGAAGAAAGGGTAGAGAAGGATGGCTACTTTGGAGGATTCTAAGAGAAGTTGAAGGTGACAAGAAGGAGAGGCTGATCATCAGCCACAATGTCTCACATAGAGTTAATAGTATGGCCTAGGGTTGTGTGCAAAAGTTGCATTTATAGTCACTTAGGAATTAAGCACACAGTATTAGTGCTAATAGCTACGCTTAGCATCTTAATCCCAAACTTTGGAATCTGAACCTACTCATTTTTATTTTATTTTTCGCAGCACCTTTTTGATACGCGCTTTTCCATAGCCAGTATCAGTTCTGGCACCATTTCTCATTATTTTAACTTGAAACTTGTTTTACAAGTCCTATATATTATTCTAGGAATTATCATGCACTTATTATAATTTCCGGGATACTTTTTCGGTACGCATTTATACCGAGTAGCAGAACCGGTATCTGTATTTTTCGTCAGAAAAGCGACTTTCAGCATTATTACCCACTTACTATAATTATTTAAGCCTCATAATAATTATTAGGGTCAATTATGGAATCATTTCCTAATTTCTCATAATTAATTAATTAACTTCCTTAATTAACGGTGCGAGTTCTTACATTTATCATCTAAAAAAATTATTAAATAGTTAACCCTTAGTTCCTTGCACGATTAACCCTTTAACCCGAATTGGAACCCTAATTCCTTGCAATGTTCCTCATAGAATTAAGCAATGAACACGATAAATTAAGCATTTGCAATCAGATATACGTCTATTCCTAGCATGCATACAAATTGTTATCCTACTCCCTTTCAAGGTCAAAAACCCCAATATTCCTATCTAGGGTTCTAACCCTCAAACTATCATCAACTATCAGATTTGATCAGTTCTAACAAAGAGGATAGAAATTACGCATAGAGTAGAGATAAAGATAAATATATAAACGAGTAAAAGTAAATCAATCCGTTGTAACAAGGGTTCACATAGGGTTTGTGACCCTAACTACAATAAAAAGTACCTAGCCAACCATGGAATAAATGATCTTAAGTAAAACTATAATGGAATTTTTAAACTATTTTTCATGGTAGTTTATAAAAGACTTACTTAGCAACAAGTTTTTGGTTATATATATAATTTCTTAAAGGGCATAGGGTAATGACGCATGGGGTACATACCACTGGTTTGTAGCCCCTGCTCAGTGGCGGCGGAGCCACGTTGTGCCTGGGTGTGGCCTCGGTCCGGGTTAAATTTTAACAAATTGTATTTATCATGTATAATTATATAATTAATTATAATTTGGCCCAGTCTAAAATTATAATTTGCCCCGAGCTAAAATTTGTGATTTGGCCCTATCAAAACAAATATATTGGTGAGAAATTTGAGTAAATTGTATTAAGTTATGTGTTCCATTTCCATTTATATAAAAAAAATTAAAATATAGGAAAAACTTCAAAAAAACCCTTATAACTTTCTTCATAATCATTTACCCTCTCTTCAAAATTTTGAATCATTTACCTTCCTAATTTAAAGTTTTTTTATCATTTACCCCCTAACTTAGGGGGATAAATGATAAAAAAACTTAAAGTCAGGGGATAAGTGATAAAAAAAAATTAAATAAAAATGTAAATGATTCAAAAAAAATTTGTGAGGGGTAAGTGATAATTAAGAAAACTAATAGGTTTTTTTTGAAGTTTTCCCTAAAATATATTCAATAAAATTTAAAAATATTCAATAAAATTATAACTCTTTTTCATGCTACCTGCTCAAGCAAAAAAATAAATATACATATAATTATTTGGCCCGGGCTCCGGTTGGAGCCTGGCTCTGCCACTGCCCCTGCTTAATTCATTGCTAATCAAACGTATGATTGCAGGATATTGATAGTGTTGGGAAATTCGTTCCCTCAAACTCCAATGTCAAGTGGGTCCAGGGGAAGCCCGTGGCGGGGAACCACCACCAATGAGCTAAGGCTACACCAACCGTAGCAAGTGGATCTGACATCATGTCTCAACCCAAAACCTTAAGGCATTGGGTTCATGGGTCCTTTCACTTATATACTCTTCACTTAGCTCATTACCAACCAATGTGAGACTCATTACACTTGAATATCTATGGGACCTCAACATCATCACCACCACTTTCATTGAACTATTCTGAAACTGAAGGTTTTACAAATCCAAGATCATAAGTAAGGCTCGGACTCAAGTTTAATTAAAGTGGTTGAACCTCCTGTGTCTTTGGAGTACTCGTGGGACTCATGGCTCGCTCGTACTAACGTACTAAGATTATATCAAATGTTAAAAATGCAATTATTTGATATATGCAAATGAACCCAAAAACTAAATCATTTGTGATATGATCCATTCCCTGCATTCTTTTTTGCAGTTCAGAGGACAAGTTTTCACAACATAAAATTGAAAGCTGAATTTGGAATGGTATATTAAATTTGATTAAACGCAATGACATAACAGCTCAAGCTACATCAAAAGTGGAAAATCGTGGGAATTTCTTCATAGAAATTATAATCTTATTTAGTTCGCAACACTTACACGTGAAAGAAGGATATGACAATATTTTTTGTTTTGGTGAAATTATTTGATGAAATTATAATACATTTTTGTTTTGTTTAATATGTCATGCTACTACTAGCTCAATTCAACTTACAAAGTTACAACATTAAATATTAGCAATATATATTCAAAGATAAAATGAGTTACTTATTGTGGAGGTCATTCAATAACAATGGGTCTCCAAGTACATGAAGTAATTCAAAAGTGAAAAAAAGTAAAATAAAATAAAATCACGTTCGCGTATTAAAAAAAGAAAAAAGAAAAAAGAAAACACCCGTACAATAAATAAATAAACAACATGTAAGTAACATGATCTATATCCCTTAAACATCACAAAAAGCAGCTAATCACAGGAAGCCAGAATGCAACTCCAGAATAGAGATTAGTGCTTATCCAACTCAAGCAGATCGAGGAGCTTCAGGGGCTGGTGGTTGAAGGTGGTGGAGAGAAGAAAGGGATGGTGGGAATGGTGGGGATTGAGGGAAAGTTTGGCAGTGAAGTGGCAGGGAACGGTGGCAGAGTGACCTTAGGGACATTTGGAATGGTGGGGATGGTTGGAAGAGAGGGCATAGTAGGCAAAGGAGGAAGATTTCCCTGAGGCAATGTTGGCATTGGAGGCAAAGGTGGCAATGTTGGTTTTGGCAAACTAGACCCAGATGGAGTTGTCTGCAGGAGATGGCGTGCTTCTATGCCAATGTCCATGCTTGAGAATGAAATAGCAATGAAAAAAGCCAAGATCATGCAACAGTGAGAGGTCATGGCTACTTGAATTACAAGTCCCAGTTATCCTCAGTACATGTATCCTGAAGTGAACTTTGCTTTGAGGAAGTGTGCATATTCCAGGACTAGTGGCTGGCCTTTTATAGAGAATGACTCAAACCCTTTGAGATTTTTTTATTTTTATTTTTATTTTTCCTTTTTTAGGTCGCCTTCCTTAGATTAAACAGCTTATTATGTTATTGGACTACTTTGTTGTTGTTGGTGGTGGTTGTTGGCTACTACAAGGGTGGGGATTCAAAAGTAGGTTATCAAACGTCTCTCTATCTTTGAATAATTCAGCAGAGGGAAGAGCAATTTATTACATACGGGTTTACTGTGTGTTTGGTAATCCAACCTCACCCGTAGCTGCTGTGAAGCCACCACAATTGTTCCCTATGTCACCCTTTTATCCTGAAGTGATTTGCATATAATGATGATTTTATTAGCACTCAACGATTCACTTCGGTAATATGTGCACCTGTAGTTTTACAGAACCATTCTTGCAAATTTATTGATTTCAAGGCGCTCATCAATTCACTTCGGCTCCAATCTTGTCTAAAGGAAGATGTACTGCCTGGAATCTGCTATGCTATATCATCTAATCCATTGATTATAACACGCACCTTAACACCCAAGGTTCATTGATGCCCTAATCCACATTACGATGGAAGCACGGCCAATAAAGCACCAATCATTTTTGTGACACGGATTGTAACTCCCCGTTCTAAAATCGGTTTGTCAACATTATGTATGATATTAATCGCCGTTACAATCGCAGCAATTGAATTATACTACAGATAAACTTTTTACTTTTTCGTTAATAAACGTTTCTGCTTAAAATCAATTCTGTAATTAAAATATTTCAAAAACTAAAATCATAACTTAAATAATATGCAGAACACTTAAGGTCTATTTAAGTATGCCATACATCGCTCCCATAAAGTGCCAAGTAGTCCACTTAGACCAACAAGGCTTAAAAACTTATTTTTATTGATACTCAACACTAAACATCGTCAATTTTTATTTACTCAAGAAATTTTATACTTCCTCTGTGGTTCTCATCTCCACTATGTTATAGATCTCTTTATTAGCACGCATGAGTTCAAATCGCACTCAATTTGAAGCACCATAACTCAAGTTATGAATTTGTGAAGAAAAATATGCTGAATTTCGCAGGGTCCCGCGCATGATAGCGCCACAACACTGACTTTTTCATGTCTTATGGCGCCGTTAGCGCCAACCTACTATTTGGTGGCGTCAAAAGCGCCAACTTGGCACTAACAGCGTCACACATCTGGAGATTTCACTCTACATTAGTATTTCACCCATAACTTGAGTTATACTTATCCGATTGATGTAATCTCTGTCTCGTTAGAAAGCTAAGAAAAAGATATATAACTTTCAAGAAGATCAAAGGATCCGAATCTATCATATATGATATGAAAAAATAGACAACAAGACATGATATCCTTATATTTACATTGATTCTCAATCTAAATATTTTCTTTCACTTAATTGACATTATACAACCACTTCAATACATGATTCTTTGCCATTTAAGACTCACATGATATCCAAATAGGCATACATGCCCTTCCATCATCCATTAGCATATAATTCCATTAGATTAACTATACAATTCAAAATGATAAATATAACATTACATTCATCAATGTATCAATATCTCAATTACACCAATGTTCTTCCAAATTTGTATACATGCCAAAAAACTTAGAGTAACATATTATCAAAGTCTCTATCTATTTATGTAAGGGCTATACAAAATGTCAATAATCATCTCTTTTTTTTCCAAATAGTGGCACTTTGGTCGCGTTCTATTTTGAGGAACATCGACCAAAGTGCCACTATTTGGAAAAAAAAGAGATGATTATTGACATTTTGTATAGCCCTTACATAAATAGATAGAGACTTTGATAATATGTTACTCTAAGTTTTTTGGCATGTATACAAATTTGGAAGAACATTGGTGTAATTGAGATATTGATACATTGATGAATGTAATGTTATATTTATCATTTTGAATTGTATAGTTAATCTAATGGAATTATATGCTAATGGATGATGGAAGGGCATGTATGCCTATTTGGATATCATGTGAGTCTTAAATGGCAAAGAATCATGTATTGAAGTGGTTGTATAATGTCAATTAAGTGAAAGAAAATATTTAGATTGAGAATCAATGTAAATATAAGGATATCATGTCTTGTTGTCCATTTTTTCATATCATATATGATAGATTCGGATCCTTTGATCTTCTTGAAAGTTATATATCTTTTTCTTAGCTTTCTAACGAGACAGAGATTACATCAATCGGATAAGTATAACTCAAGTTATGGGTGAAATACTAATGTAGAGTGAAATCTCCAGATGTGTGACGCTGTTAGTGCCAAGTTGGCGCTTTTGACGCCACCAAATAGTAGGTTGGCGCTAACGGCGCCATAAGACATGAAAAAGTCAGTGTTGTGGCGCTATCATGCGCGGGACCCTGCGAAATTCAGCATATTTTTCTTCACAAATTCATAACTTGAGTTATGGTGCTTCAAATTGAGTGCGATTTGAACTCATGCGTGCTAATAAAGAGATCTATAACATAGTGGAGATGAGAACCACAGAGGAAGTATAAAATTTCTTGAGTAAATAAAAATTGACGATGTTTAGTGTTGAGTATCAATAAAAATAAGTTTTTAAGCCTTGTTGGTCTAAGTGGACTACTTGGCACTTTATGGGAGCGATGTATGGCATACTTAAATAGACCTTAAGTGTTCTGCATATTATTTAAGTTATGATTTTAGTTTTTGAAATATTTTAATTACAGAATTGATTTTAAGCAGAAACGTTTATTAACGAAAAAGTAAAAAGTTTATCTGTAGTATAATTCAATTGCTGCGATTGTAACGGCGATTAATATCATACATAATGTTGACAAACCGATTTTAGAACGGGGAGTTACAATCCGTGTCACAAAAATGATTGGTGCTTTATTGGCCGTGCTTCCATCGTAATGTGGATTAGGGCATCAATGAACCTTGGGTGTTAAGGTGCGTGTTATAATCAATGGATTAGATGATATAGCATAGCAGATTCCAGGCAGTACATCTTCCTTTAGACAAGATTGGAGCCGAAGTGAATTGATGAGCGCCTTGAAATCAATAAATTTGCAAGAATGGTTCTGTAAAACTACAGGTGCACATATTACCGAAGTGAATCGTTGAGTGCTAATAAAATCATCATTATATGCAAATCACTTCAGGATAAAAGGGTGACATAGGGAACAATTGTGGTGGCTTCACAGCAGCTACGGGTGAGGTTGGATTACCAAACACACAGTAAACCCGTATGTAATAAATTGCTCTTCCCTCTGCTGAATTATTCAAAGATAGAGAGACGTTTGATAACCTACTTTTGAATCCCCACCCTTGTAGTAGCCAACAACCACCACCAACAACAACAAAGTAGTCCAATAACATAATAAGCTGTTTAATCTAAGGAAGGCGACCTAAAAAAGGAAAAATAAAAATAAAAATAAAAAAATCTCAAAGGGTTTGAGTCATTCTCTATAAAAGGCCAGCCACTAGTCCTGGAATATGCACACTTCCTCAAAGCAAAGTTCACTTCAGGATACATGTACTGAGGATAACTGGGACTTGTAATTCAAGTAGCCATGACCTCTCACTGTTGCATGATCTTGGCTTTTTTCATTGCTATTTCATTCTCAAGCATGGACATTGGCATAGAAGCACGCCATCTCCTGCAGACAACTCCATCTGGGTCTAGTTTGCCAAAACCAACATTGCCACCTTTGCCTCCAATGCCAACATTGCCTCAGGGAAATCTTCCTCCTTTGCCTACTATGCCCTCTCTTCCAACCATCCCCACCATTCCAAATGTCCCTAAGGTCACTCTGCCACCGTTCCCTGCCACTTCACTGCCAAACTTTCCCTCAATCCCCACCATTCCCACCATCCCTTTCTTCTCTCCACCACCTTCAACCACCAGCCCCTGAAGCTCCTCGATCTGCTTGAGTTGGATAAGCACTAATCTCTATTCTGGAGTTGCATTCTGGCTTCCTGTGATTAGCTGCTTTTTGTGATGTTTAAGGGATATAGATCATGTTACTTACATGTTGTTTATTTATTTATTGTACGGGTGTTTTCTTTTTTCTTTTTTCTTTTTTTAATACGCGAACGTGATTTTATTTTATTTTACTTTTTTTCACTTTTGAATTACTTCATGTACTTGGAGACCCATTGTTATTGAATGACCTCCACAATAAGTAATTAATGTTATCTTTGAATATATATTGCTAATATTTAATGTTGTAACTTTGTAAGTTGAATTGAGCTAGTAGTAGCATGATATATTAAACAAAACAAAAATGTATTATAATTTCAGTGCATCCATTATTGTCATCTTAGATGCATCCATCCTTTTGGGTTTTGGTTATTTTTTCCTATTATTATTTAATATAAGGTTTTTTATTTTATTTTTTAAAAAGCGTATTGGTCTTTTTTTTTTTTTTTGTCTTATTCAACATGTAATTCGGAAAAGAAATGTGCAAGCCCCATTTTACGAAAACTGCAAAAGTGATGACCGCTCCATATTTCCTCCTATATTCAGTGCACCCTATTTCCTCCTATATCCAGTGCATATTAAGAAAACTGTTATATATTTTTTTATTTCCTCGTCCATAAGGGTTGGTTTGTGGTTTATTATTATCATTATTATTGTACGTTTAAGGAAATTTTATTCCTAAAAACAAACAATATGTAGGGTTTGTTTCTTCTTCATCCTCATATCATCATTACTTTGAATGACAATTGCAAAATAACTTCGTGAAGATAAAATAATGGCTTTTGTTTGATAGAGGACCATTTATACTTATTATGTATTAGATATGTTATTGCTTCATATAAATTGACCTATTTATGAACCGAAACATTCATTATTTCAATGTTTTATTGAATCTGTATTATATATATATAAATATAAATATAAATATAAATAAGGGGTTCATTTTTTCTGCAGTCAATGTAGATAAGTTATCTACATTAAGCCTACAAGGAAATCGTTTTGAAAGTGAATGTAGATAACTTATCTACCTTCACTATAGAAATATTATAGCCAAAAATAAAAGATTTTATTCATATCGATGGAAAGTTCAATTACATTACATATAATTGTATTGTCACGCAAGTGAAATACTTCCTTCAATATTGAGAAATGAAAGTGGTTGAATATTGTTAGATCATGGATGTGTGTTAGAAATGAATTTGTGTTGTTGTTTGCATTTAAAAGTGTGGAAAAATTCAAGTTTGAAAGTGGCCGTGAATGATAACCGGTTTGTAAAATGGGTTGGCCATCTAAAGGAAGAAGAAGACTCATTAGGCCTGTTACGCAAATATCACTTGCGGTGTGAGGAGAGTGAGAGAGAGTGTGCACTCAATTTTATGCCAAAATTCATCAAATTTTAACAGTATGATCCTTCGAATAAATGTGAATTGTTGGTATATTGTTTACAATTTTTCCGCTGCATTATATATTTTTCATGGAATTATTTTATTTTATCTATACTAAGGGAGAGTGTACGTTTTTCTTTAATCTAAAATTCACCATATTTTAACAGTATTGGTTTTATACTATTTGTGAATTTTTTATATATTTTTTGCAATTTTTTCGGAGCATTATTATTTGTATGGAATTATTATGATTTGTTTTATATTTAATTATATAACATATATATATATATATATATATATATATATATATATATGTATATGTGCCCAAATATTGAGAATCAAAATTACTGAAAAATTATTTCAATTTTGTTTAGTGTCATGACACTGTTCATGGTTTGAATTCAGATTCATTATTCTTGTTTGGTGAATTGTTTTTATTTCAACAAAATTGTTTTGTAAACATAAAGTTTTAGTTTCAATGAATTTGCTTACACTATGATGTGGGTTGCTTTTGCTTTTTGAGGAAATTTTCATTTTTGAAATTTTCAATTTTTGGGAAACAATTATTAAATTTTTTTGCATTCACTATTGCATGAATTTCGAGAATCCAAAATTATGCCTAATTGTGGCTTTATTAGAGAACTAATTTCTTATTTCACTTTATTGAGTGAATAACTGTTATATTATTATTATCTTTGTACAATTATGAGTTGGTTTCAATGTTTTCACTCTTATAACTGTGGCATGGGCAACTGATCATGGGCTTAGTGTTCCAATATTTTGGACCTTATTTTCGGATATTGACATTTTTTTAGTGTGAATTGGACTCCACTTTTGGTTTCAGTTATAATTTTGAAATTTTTCCGATATTGTGAATGACAATGTTTCATTGCTTTATTCACCTTTAGCATGAATTGTGGTATTCAGATTTGCATATTACTATTTAGTGATTCTTGAAATCCATTAAGACTTTTAGTTACAGTTTCATATTTGGATTTTTAATGAAACACTTGGTTTTGTGAAATCAGTGGATTATTGTTTTCCATTGGATTGAGCCTCTCTTTTCAATGTGGGTTGAAACTTTTGATTGAGTCTCTATATTTTAGATTTTTTTGGACCTTAGAACTATTCATGTACTTATTAAGTTTTGAAATTTCAGAAAAATGGTTTGGTTGCTATTCCAATATTTAATTAGTTAACATGAATTGATCATTTTGATTTTTGTGGGAACTATGCAATTTTTTACTTTTGGATTATTTCACTTATGTGGAATGTTATTGGTCCGTGCTTAAATATCTCTCAATTGGGATTATGTAAATTGAATTTTGATTCGCATTTTGTGCTGTTATTGGTTTTGTTTATTTGACTATAAATTAGGCCTTTATATTATTGGACCACTGTGTCATTTGAAATATATTGTTGGCAATTAAAGAAATAAAAAATATTGTATGAAATGGAAATTGAACCCACAATCACCTAAAAGGTTAGGTTGAATTTTGCCAATTGAACTAATGGCAATTTTGGATCACATAAAGGGTGTGACATTAGTTGTAATTCATCATGCAAATATATTAAAAAAATTGTGATAAATTTTTGAAAATTACATGTGATACCTTCATGCTGGAATCATGGAGATATATAATTTATAAAATTTATCTGCCCAAAAGAGATAAATTTAGGCAATTATATATAATTTTCTCCTACTTAAGCATAATTAGTATTTTTTGTCGTATACTTTAATGTTAAGTGCTGAATTTATATGGCAAAATTTGTTGGTTGACAAATGCAATTTGATTTTTGGAAACACATGTTGTGAAGTGTTTCATTTTCTTAGACACACATGTTGTTAGACATTATTGTTGATCTATTATTTTGAATTATTATCTGTTAATTACCTGCCCAAAGTAAGTTGTTATATAAAATAATTAGAAAAATTGCATGAAGAAATTATTGATGAGAATACATGATTTAAAATATTTATCTGCCCAAAAGGGATAAAATGTTTTTAAACTGCATGTGGTATTATGGTGAAATATGTATAATTTAAAAGTTTGTCTGCTGAAAGGGGATGAATTTTTATAATTGTATGTAATTCTCCTTGCTAAACAAGCAAAACAAAAGAAAACAAAAATAAGGGAGAAAGGATTTAAAAATCAAATTTTATTTCTACTAAGAAAAAAAATCAAATTTTATTTATAAAATATTTCAAAGGCATGCCTTGGCCTTGGAATGGGCTAGCCTCTTATCCTCTTTCACTTTTTTATCCCAAAAATAGAAAGAGAAATGAGAGATCATCCAGTCCAACCACAATACACCTCAATCCACCTAGATAGTGATTAATGACTTTGAAGTCTCTTAGCAACCAACTTCAAATACCATTAAAAAAAAATAGTTGTACCCTATGGATCTGCTTCTAAGGAGAACCCTAAATGTAAGATGAGTCACGAAGGAGTAATAAGTTGGAAAATAAATATTTTGATTATAATTTTATGATTAATGCAATCACATTTGACACCACGAATTTGTCTCTCTTCCCAAAATCCAATTCCTGTAGCCAATAATTTTATTGAATCAAATATAAAAGGTAGTTTAAGTCTCCAAACGAGTTAATTTATATTCTCTAGGAGACCAAAAGTGCTTTTTCCCTCTTGCTTTTAAATTTTAACTTTGTTCATTTACAGTTAATTCATAAACAGCACAAATTAATGCAATTTCAAAATTCCCAAAATCCAACTGTAAATAATCTTGAGAAAGTCTGTCGTTTCATCGACAACTGGTCCACGAGGAACGAGCGGACCAAAATCCATCATCACCCCGTCTGGCTCCCCTTCATTAGCTTCCTCAACTAAATGATTGTTCGCACCACATAATCCTTATTGTTATAGGCGAGATCTAAGTCAACTGACGGATTACTCAGGATCATTTGGGCTATACCATTGTCAAATGATTGAGCATAACAATTCACCAATGCCTCTAAAAGCTCCAAAATTTTATCTTCCACCTTCCAAAGGTCGCTTTATGTAGTCTCAAAAGATTCGTCAGAAAAGTTACTATGATAATAAGCACAGATTTCTTGAATTCAATGAAGGAGAACATATGTTTGTGAGATGATCGCTAGTTACTGGTGTTGGGCGCGCTCCGGGAGTAAGGAAGCAAAGTCTTAGGTTTGTTGGACCTTATCCAATCATTGGTAGAGTGGGATCGATTGCTTATCAGCTTCCCTTACCTCCCTAATTGTCTACACTGCATGGTGTTTTTCATATTTTCCAACTGCGAAAGTATGTTCTTAATGAGTCACATATTGTTCAGCCGGATGATATTGAAATGCAGGAGAATCTGAAGACTCATATTGGTTCATTGTGTATTATTGATAGAAGTGAAAAAGGTTAATGAGTAAATGTATTCGTATGGTAAAAGTATAATGGGAAGGACGAACACCTTAGGAAGCTACTTGGGAGCGGGAGAATAAAATTCTCCGACAATATCCTAAGTTAGTGGACAAGTATGATTCTTAATTTTTTGGACAAATTTTTTTTTTTTTTTTTGATAACATGTGGACAAAATTTTTAAAAGGTGGGATGAATGTAAGAACCCTAATATATGAATAATAATTATGGCCAATTATTGAATGATGAAGACTTATACAAAAAATTAAACGAGTTGATTATAATAAATGTTAAGTG